ATGTAAACACATGATATCCTAGATAAATGATTACGATGTAAACACAGGATATCGTAGATAAATGATTACAATGTAAACACAGGATATCCTAAATATATAACAATGTAAACACAGGATATCCTAGATAAATAACAATCACAGGATATCCTAGATATATGATTACAATGTAAACACAGGATATCCTAGATATATGATTACGATGTTAACACAGGATATCCTAGATGTATCATTACGATGTCAACACAGGATATCCTAGATGAATAATTACGATGTAAACACAGGATATCCTAGATATATGATTACGATGTAAACACAGGATATCCTAGATACATAACAATGTAAATACAGGATATCCTAGATAAATAACAAACACAGGATATCCTAGATAAATAACAATGTAAACACAGGATATCCTAGATATATAACAAACACAGGATATCCTAGATATATAACAATGTAAACACAGGATATCCTAGATACATAACAATGTAAACACAGGATATCCTAGATAAATAACAAACACAGGATATCCTAGATATATGATTATGATGTAAACACATGATATCCTAGATAAATGATTACGATGTAAACACAGGATATCCTAGATATATAACAATATAAATACAGAATATCCTAGATAAATAACAAACACAGGATATCCTAGATATATGATTACGATGTAAACACAGGATATCCTAGATATATAACAATGTAAATACAGAATATCCTAGATAAATAACAAACACAGGATATCCTAGATATATAACAATGTTAACCCAGGACGACTAGATATATGATTACGATGTAAACCCAGGATATCCTAGATATATGATTACAATGTAAACACAGGATATCCCAGATATATAACAATGTAATCTGAGGATATCCTAGATATATTAATACAATGTAAACACATGATATCCTAGATAAATGATTACGATGTAAACGCAGGATATCCTAGATATATAACAAACACAGGATATCCTAGATATAGAACAATGTAAACCCAGGATATCCTAGATTTATAACAATGTAAACACAGGATATCCTAGATATATAACAATGTAAACACATGATATCCTAGATATATGATTACATGTTTACATGATATCCTAGATATATGATTACGATGTAAACACAGGATATCCTAGGTATATGATTACAATGTAAACACATGATATCCTAGATATATGATCACGATGTAAACACAGGATATCCTAGATATATGATTACGATGTAAACACAGGATATCCTAGATATATAACAATGTAAACAAAGGATATCCTAGATATATAACAATGTAAACACAGGATATCCTAGATATATGATTACGATGTAAACACAGGATATCCATGATATATGATTACAATGTAAACACAGGATATCCTAGATATATAACGATGTAAACACAGGATATCCTAGATATATAACAATGTAAACACAGGACGACTAGATATATGATTACGATGTAAACCCAGGATATCCTAGATATATGATTACGATGTAAACGCAGGATATCCTAGATATATAACGATGTAAACACAGGATATCCGAGATATATAACAATGTAAACACAGGACGACTAGATATATGATTACGATGTAAACCCAGGATATCCTAGATATATAACAATGTAAACACAGGATGACTAGATATATAACAATGTAAACACATGATGACTAGATATATAACAATGTTAACACATGATGACTTGATATATAACAATGTAAACACAGGATGACTAGATATATAACAATGTAAACACAGGATATCCTAGATATATAACAATGTAAACCCAGAATATCCTAGATATATAGCAATGTAAACACAGGATATCCTAGATATATGATTACAATGTAAACACATGATATCCTAGATAAATGATTACGATGTAAACACATGATATCCTAGATAAATGATTACGATGTAAACACAGGATATCCTAGATATATGATTACGATGTAAACGCAGGATATCCTAGATATGTGATTACAATGTAAGCACAGGATATCCTAGATATACAATGATGTAAACACAGGATATCCTAGATATATAACAATGTAAACCCAGGATATCCTAGATATATAACAATGTAAACACAGGATATCCTAGATATATGATTACGATGTAAACGCAGGATATCCTAGATATATGATTACAATGTAAGCACAGGATATCCTAGATATATAATGATGTAAACACAGGATATCCTAGATATATAACAATGTAAACACAGGATATCCTAGATATAAAACAATGTAAAATCAGGATATCCTAGATATATAACAATGTAAAACCAGGATATCCTAGATATATGATTACAATGTAAACACAGGATGACTAGATATATAAGAATGTAAACACAGGATATCCTAGATATATAACAATGTAAACACAGGATATCCTAGATATATAACAATGTAAACACAGGATGACTAGATATATAACAATGTAAACCCAGGATGACCAGATATTTTTGTATGTAGACTCTTCATTCTATTGGCGAGTGGACAAGTTTACAATTACGATACCATGCTAATAGGAATACGTGTCATGGCATGTTGCAATACTCACAGGTGCATTTGTTGAAATTTTCACAATTACACTCTAGAAAAGTTGGTACTCATTAGAAACATGGCAGGGAAGTTTTAAGTGGCTATGACTTGCTGAACTATAAGAGATTGTTGTTTCATAATTACAGTTGGTCAACACCGTTATGTAACAGAGCCAAAAAATGAGGTTTCAACTGTCATGGAACAGGGGCAGAAGAAGACACAGACAGGAATGGAGGACACGTACGAGTCATTCCTCAATGGTACAGTCATTTTGTCTGATTTATTATGTAACTGGGTGTTTGTGTGTCAATGTAAATATATCAGTCAAGGGTTTCTGTTTTATACAGATATGTTAAACTAGGTATGAAACTTGTCCCGATGATATTCTGAGTGTAATTCTGTATCTAGGAAGAATTTATACCCTGGTAAGACCCTGCTAGATATGTATAAAGTGAAAGGTTGGTATAATCCTGCATATTATATGGGTTCATCAACTGAAAAATAAAATTATGTCGAAGGTGATCGTAGATACAATTTGATTGTTGTGGTTGCAGTTATTGGCTATGAGAAGAAGACAGAAAGTACTAAGCAGAGCCCCACCCCACACTACATGTACAACACCAGGAGGGGCAGTATGACATCCAGCATCCCTGGCCTCGACATCCCAGTAACCGGTCAGTACAACAGTCATTAACACCTAGACACCGGTCAGTACGACAGTCATTAACACCCAGACACCGGTCAGTATGACAGTCATTAACACCCAGACACCGGTCAGTACGACAGTTAATAACACCCAGACACTGGTCAGTACGACAGTTAATAATACCCAGACACTGGTCAGTACGACAGTCATTAACACCCAGACACCGGTCAGTATGACAGTCATTAACATCAGACACCGGTCAGTACGACAGTTAATAACACCCAGACACCGGTCAGTATGACAGTCATTAACAGACCGGCATTTGGCTCAGGCATTTAACCAGCTTTATATATACAAAATGGGTCATAGTATTGTATATCCTGCAGTATCCTTACGTTAATTTGCGTGGTATCTATCTCCGGCATTCATTAATTGATGTATGTTAAATAAACTTAATACCAATGTTCTATTATAAGTATATATAAAGCTTGAACGAGTTCACATTTCAGAATTTTACAAATACTTTCAGTGAAGTTCTGACCGTTTGTTCAGTTTTTATGCCAAAGTTTTTCTGGAGCATAATTTACTTTTACTATTTCACTTGTTTTCTCTAAACTGATATATGTTTCTTTGGAAGGCTAAATAACCCATAGTCAAATCAGGTCTCCTGCCCTACTCTATGTGGAGTTGTTGGAGTTGTTGCCCTGAGTTTGTTTTCATATCAAATTTAGCCTGGACCACAACTTCCTTGTTATTTCACCGACATTCACCAAACTTCCTACTTTTGCCGATTGATGCAGTGTTATGGCCGTTTGTTCTTGATACCAAAGTTTGCTTTCAGCAGAACTTCCTTGCTACTTCACCTTCACCAGAAACTTGTAATACATACATTTGTCTTGGGAAGGTCATATTGGAGCATCTTGTCTGTTACTTTAAACTCATGAACCAAAGTACTGTGTGCTTACCCATTTTAACTCTCTTTAGAAATGTTTTACTTTCTTCTGTGATGTAGTATAGATTAGTATAGACGTAGTATTTCTTGGTACCTGGGGTATATATGTTGCAAGAATAACTGGTATTCACTACCTCTTGGATGTATTGATTAATACAGAGTTATGAAGACTTTGTGAGTATATCAATACTAAAGTGAGGACATTAATTAACACTGCAGTCTAAATCAATCCTGCGTTGCATTTGATGGACAATATTGGCCTAAGCAAGTCTTTGGCAAGGCTCGCCTGAAAGCAGCATCAGACTACTAGGTCCGACCTTATTTAATAAACAAACAACTGTGGTCCGACTGGTTCAACCGTTTAAACGAAAACGGCCCAGCTTATCACTGTAGACCAGTAGCTGCACACAACATTGTTTACAGCTGTAATCACCACATTTCAATGGAAGGGGAGAAACTCTTCCGGATTTGTGCAGATGCCGTCATTGCTACTGGCAGAATACAAAAATTAATTCCATTGAAATCTGACCTGTCCTTAACCAGTGGGATGACAAAAGTCTAGACAGTGACATGGTTTTGTGTGGTGATATAGGGCAAAGTCATCAATAATTCTGTTATTTTGTTAGAAAACACTGTGAAATATTTACAATTTATTATATCATGCTTTGAACTTGTGATTATATAGGTGACAACAATGGTGATAGGTTTAAGAAGCCTACTGCCAGCTCCCACCTGGGTCTGTTTGCCTCAGACCAACAGTCAGGAGGTATGTTTCCCTCAGACCAACAGTCAGGAGGTATGGCTAGACCACTGGATAGCATGGCCGGACCACGGGCCCATATAGCTGGTATGTTGTGTCTAGTCCCAGACAAGCTAGTTGTAGGTGTAACAATGGTGACTGTAATATATAAAATCGGGAGAATCCTGTAATCTGATTGGTCAAAATGATCTTTCTAATTTGCATTATCACAGTCAAATTTAACTTCGAGTCCATTTGCAAATGGAAAATCCCTAAAGTGTCTTTGATAGTGTTAATTACCGACTGGTAAAAAGTGTGTAAACAATGATGTGAATACAGTTTGTTTTATCTACCATTTTTGCTCACTTTGATATTTTTCACATTTAGTACATAAATATCTGGACCAGGAGAAAAGTAAAAAAAATGAATTAATTTATTGTCTACAGTATTACCTCTTACAGAGAAACAATAGTCATGATTAAAGTTCTTTCTTCAATGGTTATCAAAATGAATATCAAGAAATCATTATGTTATTATGTTCATATCGTTGTACATGCCACAGACAGTAGATAACTGTATTTGATTACTGTTGTTACAGGTTCCCTAGCCAGTAAGCCTGTATCCTCAGCAGCCTCTACACCGTACTTCAACGCTCCTATCAGTTATAACCGCCGTAAGTACTCCTACTGTACCATTAGTCGAAACACTCAGGTAGCCATAGCAATCGATTAAAAACAGTAACGGTGCATGTTGTTGATATGTTATATCTATCAGCATTCAGAATAAGCATCAGAGTCTGAACAATCATATTTCCTGTGTCCATGATCTTTGTTTTCCAATATTTATGCTATTAAACATATAGTCTGACTGGCCTGTCATCAAATACTCAGTATTGTTTGTAAACGTATTTTCTCTCACAACCACTGTAGGTTTCCTCAATCCTGACTCATTAAATAAACCCAACAGGAGTTGTCAAACATTTTGATCAGAGGGTAACACCCTGGACATTATTTCATTGGTCAATCTTCGTATTATGACGTTAAGTAACAATGCTTTGCGACGTCATCTTCCATTGTGACGTTATAGTTGTTCATGGCAATGGTTTCTGGTCAGAAACAGGAATAATGTATGATGTGTCTTTATACAATTTTAAAATGAACTAACTGGAGTTGGATAAACATGATAACCAACCATCACTCATTTAGGAACCTTTATATATGTATTATTATACTGTACTTTGATATAATAAAATCTACATAATACTTATGTAAGAGGGAAGTATTAAATCAATGACAATTTCATTCTATTGACACTTCTCTGTTTTCTTTATTCCAGCTGGTGTTTTTCCTTCAGCTGCTCGACTTAACCAGATTCTAAGGAAGTAGTGAGGTAACCTTTACCTGTGTAGTCATGGTTACGTCAAATACACAGGAAGTAGTGTGATAACCTGTGTAGTCATGGTTACGTCAGATTCACAGGAAGTAGTGTGGTTACCTTTGTGTCATGGATACATCAGATTCACATGTAGTGTGTTTATACCTGTGTTGTCATGGTAACATTTGATTCACATGTAGTGTGTTTATACCTGTGTTGTCATGGTAACATTGGATTCAAAGGAAGTAGTGTTAATACCATCAGTGTCACTGTTACTTCAGACTCACGGAAAGTAGTGTGGTAATCACAGTTTAAGTACATTAAACCGCCTTGTTGTATTCACATACCTGGGGTACATTATTATGTGATACTCTCTGGTATTGGAGCCTATCTCAATGTACTGTGAAAACAGATAAGAATGAACTGATGGATATACAAGTGCTGTAGGTTTGTTCCTTTTTATCTATATGACATTCTTTGTCTCTTGTGAAAATAAGAAACAGAAAATCGTATGTACTTGTTTCTGATTAAGATTAAAAGGAATTGGATGTATAATTAGTTTGTCATGCTAATAACATAAATATCTGCAGATTAATGTAAAATAAGAAAATCATGTGGTATTCATTGTTTAATGTTATGATTTTGTGACAAAAGGAATCATGACTGTTACAATATAATGATAACTGTGTTGCATTTAGTGTATATTATAATGAGCAATATTAACATTTTACCTCCACCAGCTTCTATCATGGAAGTTTATTTTAGGTGGCAGTAGTTCGGATTTTAATTACATGATTTTCCATTGATGGTATTTTTCATCAGGTATCTCTTTTCATTTTTTTTTAGGAAATTTGAATGCAGTAATATATATATATATTTTAAATACATGTACTAGTCTTTTGCTTTTTATAACAAAAGACAAAACATCAATGTGTTTACAATTGTAATGCCATGGATTTGAATATATCCTCATTATATTGTTGTATATTGTTTAAATATATCCTCATTATATTGTTGTATATTGTTTAAATATATCCTCATTATATTGTTGTATATTGTTTCATTGAATTATCTTTTAAAGTGAAATTTGTTTGTTAGTTTTCTCATTTTATTCTGGTCAACTTTTATAATGTTGAAGAATTGGGGCAAGTTTTATGTAAGAGAAGTAAGAGAGAATAGAGATAAAATGTCAGAATGTAGATATTTTGGGCAGTGCTTTGTGTGTTGAGAAAGTACAAATGAAGTTTGGGAAAGAAAGGTTGATAGAGAGAAAGGAATGCCTACTTGCATTAGTAATTTACAGATGAAGTACCTGCTATGTTGACAATGTCATCATCAAATTCTGTTGAAATATTTGTCTACATTGCAACACTGAATAAAATGTTATGAAATCTTTCACTGTATTTATTCTTTTGTTCTGAATTATGTGACATTAGTAATACATGTAAATCAAGTGGCGCTCACCTGAACAGGACACCTTTTTTCAAAAACGGAAAACAGAATAAATAATTTAAGGTAGATCCACCATCAATGATTTTGTGAGAAATAATCTTTTTCATTCTTAAATTATTAAGGAGCAAGGAAAGTCAATAAAACACAATGAACACATGGCTACTTAAGTACTTTCAAAAACTAGGGCTTCATAAACATTAGGAATCTCGGTGTCAAACGTTTTAGAATGACTTGGCCCAAGACAAGTGTGCCGTAAATTTCTATTAAGAATATACATTGTTTCATCAATGTTGTATTCCAAAAGCATTTAGGGGCAGATCTAGTATTGTTTAAGTGTGTATGATCTAGTATTGTTTAAGTGTGTATGATCAATACAAATATTATAGTTATACACATGTACATTGAAGCTTTTCCGAACAATGAAAAATACCGTAATTCTTCATTAAAATATATTATGTACGAGTCCTCTCTCTCGAGTCTTTCAATCATTAAATAATATCCAAAGACTGAAAAAATGAAAAAATGCCTCATTTTCTAATATGAAATAAAGAATTTCTTTAAAAAACACCCTTAGAACTTTTTGCGGGCAGAGAGGACATATATTTCCGTGTAATAACATATCAGTGTATGTTAAAAGATTTCCCGGACAACAAAACGTGCTGTAAGTCATATTATGAGTAAATTATCCCTATCCATATAAAAATTTAACATGGAATTAAATATTACAACATAGAAAGTAGTATATTTAATTGATAAACCAATGTTCTGTATTTAAACAAGTATTGGAAATTAGATTAGCAACCAAACATATCAAATTGTATACCCTATGTCAAAAAGCAAACTGTTGTAGTATTTTACAACAAGTTAAACAGTGTTTGATCAATTGTAATTTGAAACCGAAACCAATAAAGATTATAAACATATGGCTGCTCTTTTCTTTAAAACATATTTACTTTTTATCTAAATGGTAGCTACACACTGAGTGTGTTATTTAGTTGACCAATTTTTTAGTGACTAGGTGGAATAGCATTTGTTCAGTCTAAATTGGTATTCTAACGGGGACTTGCTGTACCTCTTTAACTTCATCCGTTTAAAAGATTTAACTAGAGAAAAGGAATGATAAATACAGTATTGGTGACGTTTTCCCTTGTAGTTTGATAGTTGTTGCATCTCGCCTACTTCCAAGATAGTATGGCTAATTCAGGCTTCTCTTTGTCAGCTTCCTATTTTGACATTTATTTACAGTACGTGAAGTCTATTTTACGATAGTTAACTTTCCTATCCTAAATCTAGAGTAAGTGTACCATTGTTTTTGGTATTCAATGACTTGTTCTAGTGTCGGAAGTTAACATGATATGTTTGGTTCTTTACTCCAGAACCTTAGCCCGTATTCATGAAACTATTCTCATGCTCAAGCATGGATTTTGTGCTCAAAACAACTTTCTTGTAACTCACTTAAATCATGACAAACGATCAAAATGTCAAATGTAAACATTGAAATAAGCATTCGGCTTTTGGTCTTTTTATTTTTTTCCCAAATCATTGACAAAAAAAAATTGTGATTAATAATTTAAAACGGGAACAAGAAATTCGGCTTGAGCACAAAACCCATGCTTGAGCATGAGCACGGTTTCATGAATGCGGACCCAGTGTTCTTGGTGTCAGCACTTCGAATATTAGTTAAAACCGATAATTTACGAAGCCATGGTTTTCTTCCAGAGGGCCTTAATCTACGAGAAATCTTATGGTTGTCATCCTTACCTTATATCTGACTGTAAAGACACGCACCTAAGGTGCCGAGTACTCTGTATTCCAGTTGACAGGAGCTGTGTGATTTACCACATGTGGAAGTAAGCAGTAAATGCAGACCTATATTTTGTAAGTGGTTGTTAGTGTCTTTGTTTTGGTCTCTCCTCGGATCCTGGTGTTGTTTTCACGTTTCTACTGCAAGTTCTGATTTTCTCCCTGTGTACACGGTGTATACTTTATACTATTTTATTATGGTATATTATCTTTTCAAACTGTATGATCTTTTTCTGAGTGTGTATTTTTTTCAATAAAAAAAACAAGTAAAACTTCACTTTCCCTAACAATTGTTTGTTTTCACGGCGTTTGGTTACATCGGTCGCATTACTGCTTTGATCACAAACTTAATTGACGAAAAAAGTCTAAACCAGCATATATATACTAATTCACAAACCGGGAGGCTCAGTATTGGGACACACTTATTGACGTCTATTGTCAAATCCAGGAAAGTACAGCAATCATCAACGATTTAAGACAATGTTATCCTGGGTAAAATCCTCTAACCTCTCTAAGATATGAAGCTGTAATAGAAGATCTGGGGTATATTTGATTTATTTATTTTTGTTCTGGAGGATAAATGATACGAAAATAGTTTCGGAATTCTGGTTATTACAGAACAAATCATCATCAATTCATCTCTTATATTTGATAGTCATGTTGGTAAGATATATTTGATAAGATTTTATTTACTGATTTCACACATATGATTCAGAGATGGTGTTCTCGATTGGTGTATTCTAGTTCTATTTCTATGTTGGCGTTAACTGTAATACCGGGAACCCTGATGTTTTCGTTGTCTTAACATGGTCTTGGTGTTTGTTCAGGTGTTATGTGGATTCTTAACGGTTTTTCTAGAATCTCATCAACAGTCGGATTTTTGTAGTTCAAAACGTCAGTTTTAGATGATCTAACTGGTATAGTAATGTGATGCCCAGTAATTCTTTCTGAATTGCCACGTGTTCGTGACTCGCACGTTTGCATGTGATTGTATCACCTATGTCTGTAAATAGTATGGTATAAACTCTCAATGTGATGTGTTTGGTTTGTTCTACACTGGAGGTACTCCATTGACCAATCATACATGTGAACACGAATCGCGTGGTTATCAAATAACAACTATGAATCTGCTAATTGCACAAACAACGATATTATTGCAAAGTGTTCCTCAAACTAAGAAATCGCTATATTTAACAGAATAATTATTTCGAACATATTTTGATAGAGGCAATTCAAGTAGCGACTTCATCAAATGTTGATTCTGACAACTCATAAGAACCACTTGGAAACTTGACCTACCATCCGTGATCGTTTTAAAAATCTATTTTTTCTTTTGGCCTCTCCACATTATATTACCCGTAGTATTCCACCGGATGGGAACGTTGCCGAGTCACGATGTAACGATGTCGTTGTTACGCTGGATACAATTACATTGTTTTCTATGTAACACGGGATTTGATTGGTGTAACATGTGATCAATAATGGGGAGAATATGACACAGTGAAGAATTCTTTGCAGTAAGGTGTATTCAAGGTTTACCAAGCAGTTAACTGAATACAAACACACATCAGCAGCTTCACCTGGGTATAAGCTTGTTCGCCTCATGGAAGATTTCGCTTGATTCCAATTATCCCCACGAAAAATAATATAGCTTGTCAAACATTCGAAGAGTTCTTCGTTTTGTATGACATTTCGTCTTTGTCACATCGTTATTTCTGATTGCATTTTATTTGTCGCTGCTCTTCCATTTCCCCTTTTCTCGTAGAAACAAATCATATAGCATTTGCTATTACTCATGGACAGTTTACTCCTAGGGTGTTTTTGTGCCTTAGCCTTACGTTGGCTATAGGGATTTTACAGATTTCACCAAGGTTTTTCGTTCTGATTATCGTATGTGTGCACTTGGAACCAACCAAAACATTGAATATTCCCTACTGAAAACGACTACTTCGGTAATCACGATGACTTACCACGTGTAATATAAGTCTAAAATCCAAAGTTTAATGATGACGGAAGCTATAACTTATCTAGTGTTAAAGTGGCATTGTGTCTCAGCGACGTTCCCATTCAGTGATTCCTCATGTTGAGACACGTCTCAAAGAGGTGGTGTCATCAGACTTTTCTTTCTAAAGCAGGAAAGAAGCAGATACAAACTATTTGTTTTAAAGAAGAAGTAATGAGAGTACAGATTTCTATGAGACGTTTTAAACTACAATCATGCAAATAAGTTTATCAGCGAATTGTATCGTTGTCCTGTGTTTCTGCTAGGTACTGTCAAAGATGATGGCACCTCTGGTACTAGAGGTGTCCCTGAGGCCTTACCTACCACGTAAGCACCTCTGGTACTAGAGGTGTCCCCGAGGCCTTACCTACCACGTAAGCACCTCTGGTACTAGTGTCCCTGAGACCTTACCTACCACGTAAGTTATAGCCATAACTTAACCACTCCGACATAGACTTGTGATAGCGGCTGTGACGGTAAACGCATGCTATACTTACTAGTATAGGAACTGCATGTTGATATTAGTTAACTTTATTCACACATCTGTCTTTGTGTTTATTTTACTCAAAATGATTTCACGCAGTTAAATATCAGGCACTTATATGATAAGGGCTTTAGAGCGATGGTGCTATTGCTAAATGCAGAGACCATAATCTATCAATTGACTGTAAATTAGATCTTTTCGATAAAGCTATAAAGCCTGTCATGTTGTATGGTTGTGAAGTCTGGGATTTTTATAATTACAAACTTTTATAACGTTTACATTTGAAATTCTGTAAACATATTCTTCAGGTGAAAACATCGACACCCAGTTTCATGATTTATGGAGAACTAGGAAGATTTCTCTGAGTATAAATATCAAAGTTCGAATGATTGGATTTTGGGCCAAATTGTAAGAACCAATACCTAATAAGTTAAGTAATAAAATGTATAGAATTTTTATAAACTATAATACTCAATGGTCGAATTGTATTAAAAATATCCTTGATGAATGTAATGTAATACATATATTTGAAAGTCAAGAATTCAAAGGTACCCAATGGTTTGAAAAATGCAGTTTTTCATATACTCAAAGATAAATTCATTAATAATTGGAGAAGCGATGTTTTCAATTCACCTAAAGGGACCAATTACAGATTATTTTTAAATGAATTAGTTTTAGAAAAATACCTGCTAGATCTCCCTCCAAGACTAGCAAATATTTATTGTGAATTTAGAATTTGTAATGTTAAATTTCCGATTGAATGTGGTATATATGAAATTGAAGACGAATATCATTATTTGTTTAATTGTAATGACCACCAAATACTACAAAACAGAAGAAAATTTATGTCGAGATATTTTTTTGAAAGTCCTAGTACTTTCTAGTTCAATACATTATTTAATAATGTCAATAATGAAGAATTAATTTCACTTATAAAATTCCTTAAGCACATAATTGAGCGAATTAACATTGTCCATTAACACCATGGTTTATGTGTAAATTGTACTATATGTATGTATATAATTCTCTACACTGTAACCAGTTTGCGAGAATAAAAACTTGTCATTGTCATTGTCTGACGACTCAGGAAGTGGATGGATAAACTTATAATGCTTATCCTTTTTGTTTTGCATAAAAAATATTGGTGATACATATTTTAAATGTGCTGTATAATATCTAGCATACTTCTGAATGGCAAATGTAATCGGGAGATTAACCATGGTCATCGAGGGGCAATGTTTATATATGTACCTCAATATTTCACATTGACAAGGAATCGTAGGTACTGCAATCTACACCAGGAGAAAAGGTAGATATTGATCGCAGACCACGTACCGTACCGTACGGCGACCTACATATACAGATAGATCGTTTACAGAGTCTCCAGTGTTCCGTGCCATCCACTACAGTATATTAAAATTGTGTATGCTGTATGTGAGTCAGTTCGTACAAGATGGCTACACAACCACAACCACCACCACCACAGGGACAGCCACAGCCTGGTGGCTACCCACCACAGCCACCCCCACCGGCGGGGTACGCGCCCCCACCCGTATACCAGCAAACCGCAGGTAAGCTTATGCTTCACATTGTTTATTGCTGTGTCTAGTACAAACCTCGCCCGAGGTAACATATATAACCTCATCACTGTAGTATTACCATCCATTATTAACTGACCCATTCTAATGTCCATGGCTTGATTATTGTTGAGTATCTATCTTTAATGACAAACTGACGAACCCTATTATACACGGTGTATATGGGATGATGTTGGGAATTAAGGATTGAAAAAGTGACGAACCCTATTATACACAGTGTATATGGAATGATGTTGGGAAATCTTTGGTAAATTCAAATGGCTGCCGAATTGGCCATTTTTTAAACTTGTGTAAACATTCTGCAAACAATAGGCATCTAGTTTTTGACATATATTTCAAATGCAGGTGTGCTTTTAAAAATTATCATAATTATCTCTTGAAAGTTTTTACAGAGAGTGGGGAAAATGGAAAAAAGTTTTACTTCTTTAAACTTAAATTGAAATGATTTCTATATCTAGACCCATTCATATCTATTAATGGACTCTTGAACTCTGACAGTTGGTTAATATAAAACTTTTATACTTGTTTTGAATAGATATTACTATCTTTGAGCAAATGTTGCCAATAAAACAATTGTCGATGATTTAATTTCAACTTCTTTATTTTTGGAAGGCCTGTCTCTCTCAAATCTGTCGTCCTTGTCTCTGTGTTGATTGTCTTTGTGCGTATATGTCTTGTGTGTCTGTCTTTGTATGTCTGTCTATCTGGCAGTTCTTGCCTGTGTCTTGTTTGTCTTTGCCTCTGTGCACATGTCTACTTTTGTTTTT